GGAAGGAGGGCCCGGGAATGGGGATTGGGATGCCTGTGTCTGGGGCTTGGCACCAGGGGGCCTGTGCTGCCCCCTACCCACCAGAAATGAGCTGTCGGTGCTGCCGTGCCTCAGTTTCCCTAATGTGAGGATGGGGAGACAGTGGCTCACACCCACCCTGATGGGATGGAGTTTGGAGGAGATCCCAGGAAGAGTGGTGGAGTTAAAACAACAGAGATGCAGCCTCACCCCAAGTGTTTCAGGATGGTCGGATTTTAATGTTGTCTTATTAGGGTTAAACACGTTGCGCAGCTTGGTGGCAGAGTGACCCCACAGTGCTGGACGTGGCACCCCTGAGGCTGGGGCCTCTCTGCTCACCCTGGGCCAGGCAGCTCCCCCCTGTCCCACCTCCTGCACCCACACACTGTGGCCATCAGAGCTGCTCCCTACCCGCAGCTCCCAGCCCATCCTGCTGCTCTGGCCATGGGGGCTGCTCCCAGGAGCTCGGCCAGAGCTGGAGGTGGCTCCCCAGGCTGCCCCAGTTGGTGGCAGCACTGAGATCAGACACTCCCGCACACAGAGTCCCAAATTCCCAGCTCATCCATCAGCTGGGATCACCTGGGGATTCCCCGGAAGCTGCTGCTCGACAGGGGTGGACAGGGGACTGGTCCCCTCAGAGCCAGGCCACCAGGTAGAGCGTCAGGGGGGGGAGACCTGAGGGTCTCCACCACGAGCACGGAGTTGGGGGGGTGGTTCCACATCAGCCCCCAGAGCATCCCCCAGCTCCTCTGGCTGTGGTGCCAGGCTGGTGGAAAGGCTCGGAGCTGAAGCTGGGGAGAACCCCATCACCTTCAGGAAGGGCTGTCTGGGGCCACACTGATTTGCCAGGATGGATGGACCATCACCATCCTGCCACCACCTCTCCAGCCCTGACCCCACTCTCCAACCACAGGACAAACCAAGTGCCCGCTCTACCCCTTCCAACCCCGCATGCTCCGCGGGGATCGATGGTGGATTTTCCAGAGCCGAGAACAATGCCTCTCCCTACTCTCTGCTCCAGGGCTTCCTCCTCCCAAGGTTCATCTCCAACGTCTTCCTCGGGAGTAAACGTGCCCCGTGCCTGGTAGCACGACGGGGCCGCCGCCGTGGCGGAGCCGCCGTGGGGG